TTTTTTTTTGTTTTGTTTTGTTTTTTTCAAGTTTGCATCACTTATATTTGAAGATGCATCTTTTGGGGATTTACACCATTTGGATTTTATTCCGTGCAGCCCTGTGCAACTATTCTGAGGATCAGTGCAGTTGGAGAGGCAGGCAAGTATTTCATACGGCAGTTTAGTGTTGACATTTTTTGTCAAATATTTTGAATTGCATCAGAGCTACGGGTGGTCGGTTCAGAGGCATACAGGTTGCAGGACGGCGCTCGTCTGCCCACATGTTGAGACGTGTCGGCCATTAAGGGCAATCTAAATGTTTTCAAGTCCTCGGTGTGGTGGAGGGGCTTGACGACAGGGGGCCTGCGGGGGTCCAGACACACAGAAGACTGAGGGGATTAATTATGAACACACACAATGCATGCACCTCAGGACTAGGAATTACATTCCCACTGTTATAGTTTGGGAAAAGGGGACTGTTCATGTATGTTGAGAGCAAGGCTGTGCTTCACAAATTTGCCAACAGGTGGCGCTTTCCCTCAGTCGTTTTTCATTAAGATTCCTGTCAATGTGAACACATGTGGTGACTTAATATGGTGTTGCAATTTGACACCTCACAGTTATTCCACCAGCAAATTTTGGCTTATAAAAACATATTAACTCTCTCAAACATGTCAAAGGTGACATTTTGGATGATGACAACGTACGTTTTATTTGGCAGCATGGTGCATGAAAGGTTAGCATTTATGCCTGGCTGTTTTGTAGTTCCGGGTTTGAATCTAAGCTCTAAACTTCCTGTGTGGAGTTTAGACGTTCTCCCATGCTTGCAAAACATAGTTTAGCTTCGTTGAAGACTATAAATTGTTCGTAGGTGTAAATGTGTCCTCGTTGTGTCCTGAGATAAACTGGCGACCAATCCAGGGGGTACTCGGTCTCTCATCCAAAGACAGCTGGGAGAGATTCAAGCTCATGACGACAAGCAGTATCGATCAAATAATCCTCTCATTTCTACCTTGCAGTGGTTTGTCCCAGCAGCAAGGCAGCGTGGAGCAGATCTCCCTCCACTGCTCCGAGGGCACCCTGGACTGGCTGTACCCCAAAGGAGCCCTTCGTCTAACCCTCTCGCCCCGCCTGCCCTCTGTGGCTGTGGGCCCCGGGGGCGGCGGCGGCAGCTCGGGCCTCATCACGGCCTGCGTCAAGCCCTCGGAGCACTTCCACGGCGCCCAGCTCTACCTGGAGAGGGACGGCGTGCTGGAGCTGCTGGTAGGGGACCGGCCCGAGTCGTCCCCCCCGCCGAGGGTGCGCTGCTTCAGCCGGCAGCCGGGGGAGAAGGTGGCTCTCTTCATGCAGGCCACACCTCACCAAGACATCAGCCGGCGCATTGCGTCCTTCCGATATGAGCTGAGGGGGGACTGGACTGCGCGTCTGTCACTTGACTCCAACCAGATCAGTACTGTTGGTGAGTTGTTCAAGTGGAGGCCAAAGCTGCCTTTGGAATCATTCACGCATTCTCTTCTCC